TCTGACAGGTGTAGAAGGGCAGGAGGGAGAAAGAGTCATTTATTTTCCACTCTGGGCTTGAGGGTGCAATATTAGACTTCAATTATGCTGCATTAATATTTCTGAATATATCCATGAAATCTGAAATATGTAAATACACTTATAATAGGTTTCATTCAGAGCTCCCCTGTGTTAAATGGTCCTGTTTGTACCTTAGTTGCCCTATAGAAATCTGCTTTAGCTATACCTAAGTATCAAGAGTAAACATAGCACCATAATGATTCAAGAAAACCTGCTGTTCAGCTTTAGGTACTCTGAAGACTTTTAGGAACAAAGGGAACAGCAGACTACCCAAGTTCTGAGAACTCAGTGACTCTGTGTTTAACCTTTCAAACCTTAGTTTCCCTCCAAAGAGGGGAGATGCTTGCTTCACAGGTTTGCTGGATGCACTAAATGAGTGGGTATGCCAAAGTTCTTTGAAAGTTGGTTAGTCTAAGAATTTTTAAAATTTATGCGGATTTTTATCCTTTGCTTAGCTCTCTGCTAGGAGGAGCTCAACAGGAGAAGAAGGCTTTGTCCTTGAGGAATGTAACTGAGCAGAGGAAAGTAACAGGAAGAACTACGGAATAGTTAAGTTGAAGAGGACAAGGTCTTAAAGGCATAAGCCTATGGAATGGGTTGATCACTGCACATCCAAGAGGGAGAAGACCTTCCTGTGAAATGAAGTAGATGGCACTGTTTGGGGCTGCCGTGTACAGGTGTGCATTTTGTACACCACACAGAGGCACGTGGCAGGGGGAGGTGCTACTGAAATCCAGGCCCCCTCCACTCACCAAGCTGCACACACGGGAAGGGGCACGATACTAAGTAAGGTACCTTCCTCCCTCCAAGCAATGCACCCATGGAGCAGGACCTGACCAGTGAATGTGTCGTCTGCAGATTAGCAGTGAAGCCCAAGCAGGCATCTAGAGGCCTGGCTCCGCAGGCTGGCAATGTGGGCTCGGGGGGGCGGGGGAAGGGCCTGACGGGAATGAGGAGCTGGAGCTGCAGAAGGGGGCCCCCTCCAGTAGGTCCTTAAAAACCAGAGTTGAGCAATGGTAGAGACAGGCTATAGGGTCATGACTTTCAGTACTTGTCACCTCATTTCTATCTCACAACAACCCCAGGAGAGAGGCATTGTTCCCATTTCGCAGACTAGGAAACAGTTTGGAAAGGTTGAGTTACTTGATATGAACTCGGCAAATAAGCAGCCAAGAGCTGATTTAAACCCAGATCTATTTGAGACTCACTGTTCTTACCAGCGCACGATGGATGGAGTGACTCTGAGTTTTATCCCCCACAGGTATAAAAATTGCACTGGGGCTCTTTACTATAGGTGATCCATACTGGAAACTTCAGAGGACTTAAAAGCAGCCCTGTTCCTCATGAAGGTTCCCCAAACCCAGGAAGCAAGTGCAGTGCTGAGCCCCAGGCTGGAGTCCGGGACTGGGTCTCTCCCGCAGGTGACCTCCTCCACCAGGTGACCTGGTTCTGGCACACACAGTTTGGTTAGCACCACGTGACCTCTCAACCTCTGGGGGGCGCTTCAGTCTCCTTATGAGCAGAGAAGAGCTGGGCAATGCTTTCAACTCTACAATGATGCTTTTTATGATACTGTCATTTAAAACATTTACTACTTCTTAAAGTCTACTGTATCAAGCCATTCTTTTTGTATTTTGCAATTTATTTTGACTAAACCTTTGAAACTCGAATTCCTCTTCCCCTTTCCAAACTGTACCAATTCTTCAAAGCCCATTTCAGTCCCACTTTTTTTCTCTAAGCCTTTTCTGTCTTCTCAATCACCCTACAAAGTCACCCATCACCATCTCTAAAATTCTTTTCATATTTAGAGTAAGCACCCTCCCACCTAGTACTCAGATACCGTGTGCTAATGGTCTTATTTGAATTGACACATTGCCTCTAACATCAGTTTTGCCTATCATTTCAAGCACTACCAGGTAAAAACTATGAAAGATACCTATCCCATAATAGCCTTGCTTCTCTGTCTCCCCCCCAAAGCATTCAAGTACTCATTTCTATTCACAACAATGAAGTCATTGCAAATGAATGATTTATGACTTCACCGGAGATGCACCGGTGTTGTGCTTCCAGAGCCCTCTGGTAATAGCACATGATGCGGCAATGATGAAGGAGTCTAGGAAGATGTCGGATCCCAACCAGGCCTAAGAAATCATTTCTCTAACCAAGAGTGCCCTGCCAATCATTTCACGAAGCCATTCCTGAATACAAAGGTGTTCAGGATGAGGACCTTCTTCCTGAGGTACTTAGTACGTTTCCACAAGTCAGACACACTGAAGCATTTATTTTATTCCAAAGGGCCTATACATTCTTCAGAGTAGCTAAGAGATACCACACAAAGGGAAAAATGGCTCAAACTAGCATTTAGAGATGACTCAGATTCAATTTTCTTGAGGAGGCTGCATGAATCTTGGGATGGTCTAGGAAACGGTCAATGCACTGTTTACCATTCAACATGGCTGACAGGACTAACCCACCTTTGAAACTGGCACACCAGTTTCTCAGAAGAAGAATGCAGCAGGGTCTATGACCTAGCAGGCGGTCTTAAGTGCGCATAGTGAAAATGGATGAACGTCAATTTTTTTTTTTGGATGGAATTAGGCTGAAACTGATAAGGACATTTAACCAGTTTACACCAGTCAGACAAATTAAACTCCAACACAGATTCTCCCTGGTGTGTAGCAGAAATTCTCAAAAACTCCATGATAAATTCGTTGGTTATCTATCAAACCCTGTCTGGTTTTTAAGCTTCCATGTCTCCCTGTCTCCAGAAGGGTGGGCACTGAGAAGACAGGGACCACCCTCAGCCCTTTACTGCAAGCAGGGCTCAGCTGTCCCTAGTCTCTGAGAGAGACCTCCACACCACACACGCCACAAGGAAGTGGGAGGCAGGGCTCCGCCCTTTAGACCAGGGGCCTATTTTGTTGTTACTAGTCTTCCTTCCCCACCCGCGTGTTTAGTCTAGGGTGGGGGACAGTCAACAAAGGGCTCAAGTGTTATGTTTCACACCTGCCCCTGTCCCCTCATCACAGGGTACTTTTAACCTACCATTGGATCTTTTCTATTGAGCCCAAAGGCAGCCTCTGAACACCAACACAGAGTTCCCAAATCCATTAACAAATGCACCGAGCAGTCACATGAGATGAAACCTTTTGGCCGCCCCCTGGACTAAAGTCCTAGGCCACTGTTGACAGACTTCTCTGATGCCATTCTCCTACAATTCAGACTGTCCCCACTGAACATCCTGCCTACCGTGATTTGGAACATTTGGAACATACCCCTCTTGCTTTATGTACTTGTTTCTGCTGCCTCTCTTACCTTTGGATACCATATTCTGGCCCTGTCCATGTGAGCCCTTCCAAATACCTGCACCGTGAGTGGTTGGTTACCTATCCCATCCTGCAACCCACACAGGTAGGTTTTAAGCCTAAGCCCTGCCTCTCTCAGTCTGCCCCAACCAGCTGTACACCACCACGCCTGGCTGTGTAACACCTACAAAAGCATGACGTAATTCCCCATTGCTGAACACAGGGGGTCCCCATTATCTTATACAGAGATAAACAGGGTAGTCTGCATGAGTTACCGATAATAAAAAGTAAATTCATCCTGTTTTATTTTAATTCTAGACGAAATTAAGACTACAAGCAACATCTCTACTGGTCCTGAAACTTCACTGACTGGACCCTAATCTTTACTCTCAATGACCAGCTTCTATTAGCTAACTTTTAACAAGCATATAGGCAAAGTAGGGTTGTTTAGACTTTCCACAGTAGAAGAAAAATACATCAGTTTAAATTAAATCCACTACTAACATGGTTGACATTTCCTGCTTTGTTATTAAATGGCTAAGTGAATGCCAGCCTGCTTTCAAAGAAGTGTCTGGCTTGCTCTAACTTGCTGCAATGAACACCCTAGTTTCATACTGCTTGCATTCTTGAAAATGTTTATTTGGACAGACATTTCTCAGCAGACCTGCTTCCAAAACACACATTCCAAAATACTTCAAATTATATAGTGATTATAAATCCCCTACTTTATAAGTATTAGAAAGAAAAACAAGAATGCCAACTAAAATGAGTTCCATAATTTATGCAACAACCGGAAGCATCAAAGTTGAGAGGAAGGGAGAGCTCCCACAACCCTCATCTAAAACCAAGATCATCCAGAGATACTGAAATCCAGAGATACTGAAAAATCCACATATACTGAAATCCAGATAATATTTACCATATACACTACCACTCAGCCATTCTTTCTGTAAGTCGCAAGGTAACACTTTATGGATCGTGATTCTACCAGAAACTGATGTTCCTTCAGAGAAGGTCTAAAGCCACCATTCTAAAAAATGAACCAGGAGAGAATTCTAAAAGTTCAAAAAGCATTACCTGGTGCAGGCTGTCGTTCATTCCACTCAGTTGAGATTAAAATTTCTATAACTTTTATGAGGTGTTCAGTATTCTCAGGGCTACAAAAAAAGAGAGTTTTATTAGAGACTTTTTTTTCAAAACAACAAACTCATGTTCACTTATACACATTCAAGTCAATGTGTCTGGTATAAAGGTACACATGCATCTGTGAGCGAGGATCTTCAGAAGAAGCTGAATGATCCATCAGCTTAGGACCACCAACATCACCCAAAAACACATGCTTCTCTCCTTTCACCTTACCTGGCTGCTGGGAATCTGAAAAGCAGAGGGCTGAAAAGTTCAGAGAGTACTCTTGCACTCAGAAGATTCTTGCTGGAGGTTTGAGAGAGCTTGAAGAAATGTTTTAGCAAATACTGAAGCGTAAGCCAATACTGATGAGGTATGTTAGGTGCCCTAATGAGCTTCTTCAACAGCTGGACATATTCTTCAGAGCTCTGTACTTCTACAGAGTTAAAAAAAAAAAAAAAAAAAAAAAGAAAGAAAGAAGAGTTGTTTCTAGATATCAGTGACTAAACACCTAGAACACTTCTGTTCTTCTAGCTGCAGAAGAACGAGTCCTTTTAAATGAAGTCATCAGAAGCAGCGACAGGACATTTGTTCTCCTCGTTAGAAAATACATTGTGAGAAAGTAGAAATCTCAAGTCAAATGGAAATGCAAGAAACTCTTGGTGTAAAAAACCACAAGAGGATCAGGGTGTGCTGGCAGAGATCTGCCCTCTATTGAGCAGCTTCGAGTGTGATTGGCTAATTTGGAGGAGCATCAGATAAGCATCACACGTTTTAACTTTGAAGGTTACGAACCACAATTTCCTGTCCCCAAAGCACTTTGAGCATTAGCTCCTAAGCCTGACTCAAGTCCTCTTCCCTCAACACATTTTGTAATGGCCACTCGAGGAAAATGATAAGAACATCCCCAGTCAGTGGGTCCTGGTCCCAGGTTCCCTGAATCCAAAGACGGCACTTGGAACACTGTGGCCTTCAGTGACATAGTGAACTTTGTTAATGCTGATAAAAGGTTAACAATTAGCCATTTCAGCATGTGGACAGTCTTCCTAAGCAAACGAGAATCTGGGTCTTCTATTGGATGCCCCGGTAAGGGAGGGAATTGGTGCTAATGGGGAGGGAGGGTGTTGGGGAGGGCGCAGATTCCGACTAATATTTTCTAAAACACCGCTCTTTATATGCAGCATTTAATAGAGTTTACATGCACCTGCACATCTCAATATATGTGGTCACTGAGGTTTTCAGAACAGAAAACAAACCTTGGGCTAAATAAATCATTTCATTGTAAACGGCTACTGGAATGACAGGATTCGGTAAGTCCACAAGATAGCGTTTGAAAGCATCTCCTAAAACTTGCACATCGATCATTTCCAAGTCCATGGAGGCAGCATCTGTGACAGAAACATTTTAAAAAGTATTTCAGACATTGCATATATTGGTTGGGCCCATTTTTCTGAATATTTGACTTAAATGTGACACAAGAAGGGAGGCAACAGGAGGGCAAATATAAAATTCTTGAGTATTTCTTAGCGGTGCTTCTCAAAGGGGATGCCCCGGGCATTGCAGATAGAACACTTTTTCTTTGTGGAAGTCTGTCCCCTAAGTTCTAAGCATTTCCCATGATGGCTTCTGCCCATGATGCCAGGGGCACGTTCCCAGATGGTGGGGCAACAATAAAAAATCACACCCCCGTTATAAGCTGAATTGCATCCCCCACAAGTCATAGGTTGAAGCCCTAACTCCCACTGTCTCAGAAGGTGAACGTATTTCGAGAGAGGGCCTTTAAGGAGGTGGTTTAGCTAAAATGAGGCCATTAGGGTCGGGCCCTGATCCAACTTGGCTGGTATCCTTCTAAGAAGAGGAAATGTGGACACATAAAGAGACATCAGGAGCACAAGCATGGAGGGAATGCCTCGTGAGGACTCAGTGGGAAGGTGGCCATCTGTAAGCCAAGGAGAGAGGCCTCACAGGAAACCAAACCTGCCTTGACCTGGGACTTCTAGTCTCAAGAACGGTGAGAAAATAGATTTGTGTTTGAAGCCACCCAGTCTGTGGAATTTTGTTATGTCAGCCCTAGCACACTAAAGTAGCCCCCCGAACATACCTTCTGGAGGGTGGTTCTGCTCTGAGAAAGGCTCTGTCTAGGGATGGCTAATCATTTAGTAAATGCTTCCTAAAACCTCAACAGGAAAACATGAAATGCAAATCCAGATATTGCCTAAATTTTGAGTTGCTGAATACTGCATCTCAGAATTCATACAAATTTAGCTCAAGAGAGTGAACAAACAGTAAGATATACAGAATTTTAACAGTCGGTCTCAAAAATAGCCATAAAAATATTTTTAACATTTTTAGAATGTTTCCCCCTGATTCTGACAGGGTATTCTAATTAGGATACAACTAGTCTAACCTGTGGGCACTGAACTAGCTCCTAAGAAAGAGGAGCACATCTGTCTAGTAAACCCTTCAGCCAGAAAAGAGGTCAGGCAATTCACTAACGGGGTGATACTAATCCAAACCACGCTCTGAGGACTCAGGGTAGAAAAAGGCACAGTGTCTGGCAGAAAGAGGGGCTGCTGGGGCAGGAAGGGCCACAGGCATCTACATACAGGAGCGGCATCTGGCCGCTGCTGAAGGACGCGCACCACTGACGTGAAGGCCAACCTGAAGATTATCTGGAGCCTTGTGTACTCAGGGGAGACGAGGTGAGCTGATGGATGAAATGCTATAGTTTTCAACAGCTTTATTCTTTTTAGTGTTAAAAATTAGCTGGAAAAGAGCGCTGCTGGAAATGAAGGGAACACTTCTGGTAATTTGAACTGCAGTGTTAGAGATGGGTGAGGCATTATCAAGAACTGACATAACTTGGTGACTGACTGGATCAGGTGGTGGCCTGGGAGAGGAGGAACCTGTGTCCTCCAAGGTGTGGGAGTCGGAGGAGGAAAAGGTGGCGTCCTCGATGGCCACAGAGCGAGTGTGATACTATCAATCACTCCGGGTTCAACGTGAAGTTACAAAAGTTCCTGGGACACATCATTATCATAAACCAAACCCGCCCCGCTAACGAGGCAGAGCTTATGAAAGAATCACACAACACCAATAAGCTCAGGAAAGTTCATCTGGTAGAGAATGTGCCTAGGTGAGCTGGAGGAGAAGAATTACTAAACTCAGTCAGTGGAGGGGCACACAGTTGTGCCCCAGAGAGTGAACGGCACATGCCACATCTCCAACAGGGCTGGGAGAGGCAGTGCCCGGTCTGTGCACAAAGGACCCACGTGAGAAGTAAGGCAACTACCAGTGTGCCTGTCAATGAAACCTGTGTGTGCACCACGCGAGCAACATGCCACAGCCACTGACCGCCTGATAAGCTGCTCCTCCCCTCCCCCGCCCCCGGACCCTTCATGCCCTGTATGCTTCATTTACTAGGTCTCTTTGCCCGGGGAATTAAGGTTACCTAATTTGTTCATCGTAAAGAAATTGATAAACCATTTGGTGATTGGTAAAAAAAAAAAAAAATTAAGATGCTCAATATTCCACAGGCCCCTCCCTCGGGCAGGGTTTCTACTGCCTTCCCTGTGCAAGAGCAGTGTTGATGGGCCACATCTCTACCATGACACTTCCCAGACAGTATGGTAATTAGCTGTCTCTCTACTAGACTGAGAGTACTTCAAGGGCAAGGACTGTGGCTCTTCCCTGCTCTTCCTGCTTCCCTCAGTGCCCAGCATATAGGAAGTGCTTGCGAAATGTTTGTGGACTGAGCCATAGCATGTCCTCAGAGTAATGTCAATTCACCCAGGCCCTTCTCTTAACACATGAGGTGTGTTCCCAAGAGCCTTAAGCCTCTGAACAAAATCATCTTACTTCAAGCCTTGGGATTAGCCTTTGGATAAGCTCACTTTATGTCAAATCCATTAGTGCTGATGACATAGTATATTGTTTTTTTTAAAGTAGCTTCTAAAGCTCCTTGGAGCTCCTGACTTTTGTTCTGTAAGTCTCCTTTTCTGCATTCAAACTATCCTAATGAACTCTTCCAAGAGCTAAGGACATCTGTCATGTGATGACTTCTGAGGTTAGCTAGGCAAGAACTCCACAATCTTTAGGTCTAGGATAGAGGAGTTTATACCCTCTATACCCCAACTTTTCACTGAGTCTTCTCAAGACAGGTAAACTAGTAAGCTCTCCAGCATGTCACCTTTCCTTCCAAAGGGATGGAGTCTCCTCCCCAGCTCATCTCTACCTAAGTTAATAGTTCTCAGTCAGGGTTTTCCATTTTACTGCTTCACTTCTACCCCAACCCCCACTCTCAGAAGACATCTGGCAATGTCTGGGGACTTTTTTTTTTTTTTTTAACAATTCGGGGACCATGCTACTGGCATCTACTGAGTAAAGAACAGGTGTGCTGAGGCTGCTAAAGCCTCAGTTTTTAAAGTGAGGTATAACTGACATATAACCCTATCTATCATTGTAACAACAGGATTTGATATCTGTTTATGTTACAAACGATCACCACCATCAGTCCAGTTAATCTATCACCAGAGTTACAGAATTTCTCTTTCTTGTAATGAGAACTTTTAAAGAAAAGGCCTGCTTTGGGTTAAGAGAAACCAAAACAATCAGGAGAAAATTCAAATGAGAACACAAAAGATTAATTCACTTTACGTCAATACAGCAGCAAAAAAAGGAGTTAAGACAAATTTGGGTGTAAGTCCCAGCTTTGCCTTCAGCAGTGATGGATACTCCTATCCCAGGGGTACTACGGAGATGAAACAAACTAACTTAGGAGGGTGCTAATAAAAGTGTGATGCTGTCTTCCACATCCATCCTTTTCAGACATTGGTAATTCACAGGGTTGGTTAAAAGTTATGAATTCTTTTCTCTTTTTTTATTTTTTTAAGTGTAAGTGACTTTTCTCTGCGCTTCCTCCAAGGTATTACAATATTTTTATGGACTGAGAAATCCTCAAGCTATGAGAAGTCCTGGAGGACCCACTCCTAAATTTAGATGTTTACTTTTTTTCTTCTCACAAAATTCACTTTTATCACACAGAATCCACAAGAAACCAGTCTTCTACGTGTGTGTTTTGATAGCAAGTGGCGAAGAAAAGCTGTCTATCAAAATACATTGCTGACGTTATTTTTGGTTAGTTATTCCATCTCAGAGGTGACGTGAAGATTTTTTTTCTAAAGCTAAAGTGCATCATTTGTATTCAGTCACATTTAAAAGCTTAACCACTATTTCTCAAATAACTCTCATCTCATCAGTCTCTGATGTCTAAACATTTCCTGTGACTGTTGTTCAGTTTGACCAATTTTCTGACCAAAACATGTATCTCAATTTCAACTGGCCAAGGACAAAACTCAGTTTCCTTACCACTCTGGTCAGGCTGTGAGAAATAAAGGACAAGTGTTTCACTGTGAGTTTTCTGCCAGTCAGCTCCTACTGACCTACTCTGGGGGTAAGGCAGGAGACCCAGCTGCCAGGGCACATGCCCTGCACATGTGGGAGGCTGGCTTCCATGCACAAAATAAAAATGAAAGTTTGAAAAAAATTTTTTTTCAAACTTCAAACATTTGGGTGGTGCATTTCAGATGAAACTATTTACTGATATAGAATCTTTTTTTTCCCAGAAACATCTTTTCTAGAAATTGTCATGAGCTGCCTCAACTTCACATTTTCATTTACTACCTTCTTTGCACAAGTAACCTGTCTAGAAGAGCTTCTTCCCAAACTAGGTTTCATTCTTTCGGTTTCAGATGTCCAAATTCAATTACAAGACTGTGAGGCAGAGAATTATTTTTCTAAAAGAAAAATTCTGAGAGGGAATGAAGAATCTGAGAGATTCTACAAGGGGCTACAGAAGATGACTTGCTGGAATGACGGCCGGTACATTTATTCACATTTGTAGTTTTATTCCATTTGGCAAACTAAGTTGAATTGATGTCATCTAACCAATGGTGTGCTGCAGCTGGTCTGCTCCAAAGGGCCACCTGTGCTCAATTCTTTCCAAGCTGGGAGTTTAGTGATAACACGTTGGCAGCCTGAAATTGACCACAGCGGGCATACTGACACCATGGAAATGGGCAAATGCTAAAAACCAGGCTTCCTCCGCCTCCCAGAGTTGGGTTTACCAGCACACCACTGAATAGAACAGTATCATGATGTTACCTAATATAAACATGGCATGAAAAAGCACATAAGCATAAAAGGAAGGAAGGAAGACCAAGAAAAATAAAAAAAGGAAAGGAAAATGGAAAAGGTCAGAAGAGACATTTGTTAAATGACATAGACTTATAAATATTTTTTAAGCTGATCCAGATGAATCAGAGGTAGCCAACTGCACGGTCAGAGAAAGATGGTCGATAGGCAGAGCCAGAAAAATCCCGAGGGGGTGTTTCTCTCCTCTGCAACTCGTGCAGGACCCAGAGGCTCTTGGCTGTGAGGACAGACCATATGCCTGCAGGCAGGCATGCACACACACCCCAACGCAGGAGACAAACATCAAAGGTCAGCGCGGGTTTGCACTGTTACCATAATAGGGCAGAGGGAACTGTGTGTGATTTCTGAGCTTCCTTCAAACTTAGAACACTGCACGGTTAAGTTCCAGTTTTTGGTGCTTTACCTGAGACCGAAAGGTACGAACCATGTTTCCCATTTGTCTTTCTAGCTCTATGACACTCACCACAATCAAGAAGCTGTCGTAATTCTGCTGGGTTGCTGGAGCTCTGTGTTCTGTATAGAGTTGAACATTCCAGACCTAAGACACAAAACAGACTGAGCATGCAAAACACAGCTCTCTGGAGAACCTGTGAGCTTGCTGCCAGAAAGACATTCCAGTTTCCATCCCGTATCTATTCTAGATGTGTACCAAATATTCTTGGAAGTGAACTCCTACTATTAATCTTAGCTGGCATGTCAGTAATTTTGGCAAAGTCATCTGGCCACTAAAGAGCAAGTTAATTATATTTATTAAATTATGGAGAATTTAATAGTTTCCATACAGTAAGTACATGTTAATAGAGTTAGAAATCAAACCAAGGTTATTTCCCCACTACACAGCAACAAAGAGCTTATGTGTCTAGCACAAGTAGCAAGAAACGTATTTAATGAATGCCCAACAGACAACACCCATGAAATAAGAATATAACAAGGTAACGGAGCCCCTCTACCAGTTGATTACCTTTCTTTTCAATGGCTTCCACTAGCTTCATGAGAAGAGGCGGAGCAATGTCGGGAGGGGCAAACTGCTCGGCGAGATCTGGAAGGGCCAAAGCTGCAAATAAACAAAATCCCACGATTATGCTTAATTGGGGTAATCAAATGCATGAGACAACAAGAGAATTTAAATATAAAACAATGTAGTTCTACTAGACACCGGCAAACTCGGGCCTGAGCAAGACCGAGCCGCGTGCGGGGCCCTGCCCTTCAGAAGACTGCTCTCCGGCCCTCTTAGAGCTGTGCCCCCTCCTGCGCCTGAAGGTTTGGGAGCCCAGCGGACAGGCCTACTTCTCCCCTGGGACACATTCCAAGTACTTCACTAGAATCCAGGAATTCCCTGCCCAACCGGCCTCTCGGGGCCTCTCACCCAGGTCCACCCTTCCCAGAGCAGACCTCCCTTGGGGGGTGCGCCTGGGCCTGGGGCTGGGTGGGCAGGGCTCGGGGGAGGAGGACAGGGCAGAGCCCCTGCAGGGCAAAGCCAGGATGGGTGAAGGGTCCACCCCCACCCCGCCCCCACATCATCACACTCTGGGCCAGAACCTGGAACCCAAGAACCCTAAATTCAACTCATTACAAAGGAAAAACTGTCCAGGTAGGAGGATGGGACAGATTTTACTCAACAGTTCATTAACATGATTTATAACTTTAAAATATTTAGGCACAGGGCGCTTGCAAATGATCACTGGCCCCGTGACATTCACTTTAAGCCCCTGTGTACCTGCCACGCAAGTCTTCGTTTGCCGACATGCATTTTGGTCACTTAATATCTTAAGAAATGTGATGCTTTCGCCAACGGTATTTCCATGCTTTCTCTCCGTGTTTTACCAATTGCAGTGATACAAGAAGAGACTAATTGGCTGACACACAAATAATGGCCTCCCGTGGTACATTTATAACTGTTGTCTCACTCCAAAAATACACGAAACCATTTTAAGTAAAAATATCCATCTCATAATACACCAGAAGAGGGAGCTAAATATATTCACCTCACTTTTCTCAAACTGCAAAATACACCTAAAGGAGAGTCTATATGAAAATATCTACAGGTGCAACCTTTTCATTAGCCACCAACACGTAACTTTTTCCCATTTAAGGTTCATTACTGTGCACTCTTACCTAGGAATAGACAGTTTATAGAATTTAAGAAAGATTCAATATTTATACTTTAGTTTCAGTGAGATTTTAGTGGTATGATTCAAGGCATTTTATTATGTTAAGCAGATTTCTAATGAAGCCCACCTTCCTAATACTAAGAGTCATCACAGAAGAAGAAATTCATGATATAAAAGTCAACCTCAGAGAATGAAGTATGATTTATGTCACTTTACAAACCTTAAACCCCATGGTCTAAGAGCCTTTTAGACTGCAGTATGCCCTGGGAGAGCCGGACACATGTGATCTTGCCACCTAACCCAACTGGCCATTCAGGTCCCCAGGATGAGAGGAGAAGAGCTAGATGAGTAAAGAAAATCGCACAGCAGCACTGTCCACTAGAACTTTCTGTGATGATGGAAATGCTCTATTAGCTGTGCTATCCAAGAAAAGCAGTGACTGGCCAACTAGCCACATGTGGCTACGGAGCAGGAGAAAGGCAGCCACTGCAGCTGAGCAAAGGAATTGTTTTATTGATTTAAACTGAAATAGTGGTATGTGCTAGTGGCCACGGTACTGGAGCACACAGTCCCACAGCCTGGGCGAGGATGGATTTTGTCAAGAGCAAACGGAAGATTCCTGAGTTGGCTGTGTGCTACTAAGACCCCACCATAAAGCCATCCCTGGGGACAGAGCTTCTGGATATCGGGTTCATCGACATTTGAGCTCAGGGCATGAAAAGTCTGTCACAGCTTCCCAGGTGACTCTGTCCAACTGCAACATCACTGGAACACGCTATGGACTTCATAAAGGAAGCACAGACATGCCACTGACTTTCTAGACAGTCACGATGCAGAGAGCTGAGTGGGAACTCCATCTCCCCTGTGTTCCCTGTACCTGCCCGAGCCTATGGAGCACCTGGACAACTTGCTAGGAAGACAGATCCCCAGGTATGACCACAAATCCCCGGAATCAGAAAATCCAGTAATGAAGCTGATCATCTATTTTGGGTTAGTACTAAGTTTTAGGACATGCTATGATGATAAGCAAAATCAGGTGGGTAACCCCCTGAAAAAAAAAGAACACCAGCAACGACATCCCCCAATTCTCTAAATGTCAAAACATGAGTATATCTGAAAAGCACTGACAATAAAAATGTCTTGCAAGTTTCATGTAGTCTTTTTCATTAAAAGCATTGTAAAATAAAAAAGGATAAAGTGTAAAATGAAAGGGCATACCGTTTCATTTCCTCTGATAAACTATAAACTACTTCCTTTTGCCTCAGAAGATTATCAGCTCAGAAAAAATGTCCTCCCCTATAAATGCCTTCTACACTGAACAAGCTGATATGTATCATCCTATCAGCATATGTAACAGAGGAAAACAAGGGTAGAGAAACGGTGTAGAGAAATATTAATTAGAATTCACTGCAGTGTTTCTCCTTAGCCTTCTCAAACTTACAGGTCTTACTTGGCACATGCCAAGATACAAAAAGCTAAAGATTAACTAGTAAATACACAATCCCACATGGCAATGCTCATCCAACTAACATGCCCTGCTCCTCTGTGCCCGCCCTCAGAAATTACTCGGCCTTTTTTTTTTTTTAAATTAAAATAATCTTTAAAGTTGGCAACTGAAAATGGAATTACTTAATAAAGGTTTATCTCTTTCCAGAATCTTATCAACACCATCATTTCTGCAGGCAAATGTGAAAGTTAAATTAACTGATAATGAAAGATTTCACCTAATTGCGATTGAAATATGCACCCAGCAGTTGTTTTATGACTGGGTTGGCAAATCTACGTAGAAAGGGTTTCCATCTCTCCATTTGTTCGCTTTGGCTTGAAGAATAAAAAAGAAAAAAAGTAAAACCTTCTTTCTTTAGTCCTTTCAATGTTTCTGTGGCAAAAAATGGTAGTTTACCTTCAGTATCCTGAGCTACAAAATATCATGTGTTTCACTAAAAAAAACGGTTACGTCAAGGGGTACCTCGGTGGCTCAGTTGGTTAAGTGTCCAACTCTTGATCTCAGGGCTGTGAGATCGAGCCCCACCTCAGGCTCTGCACCGGGAATGGAGCCTACTTGGTGTCTCTCTCTCTCTCTCTCTCTCTCTCTCCCTCCCTCCCTCTCTCTCTCTCTCTCTCTCTCTCTCCCCCCCTCCCCCTCTGTGCACCTCCACTCTGTTCTAAAATAAATAAATAAACAAACAAACAAACAAACAAACTGTTACGCTGAGTGTTGGAAAAGCATTGTGATAGCCATCAGGTACCTAGAGCAACGCTGGAACTTTTCTCAGAGCACGCCACAATACAAAGAAGAAAGCTAGATGTACGTCGGGAGGGTAAAGGTACTCTTCCCGTAACAGGTCTAGTGAATTTCCCACTGAGTTTTTAATACTGATAAAAGCTGTATTACTCAAATGTCTGAATCATTACAGCTGATTAAGGTTTTGCAATGGGAATTTTTTAAAAGAGAAGTTTTATAAGGAGAAACCTTATTTTTTAAATAACAATTCAGTGAGTTCCTATTCTCTAGTACAAAATCTGTGATCCAATCCATTTCCCCTTTCAAATATTTAAACATAGGGAATATGAAGCCCTACCCAAGAAGTTTTTTTTTTTTTTTAAGATTTTATTTATTCATTTGACTGAGAGACAGTGAGAGAGGGAACACAAGCAGAGGGAGTGGGAGAGGGAGAAGCACGCTTCTCGCGGAGCAGGGAGCCCGACGCGGGGCTCGATCCCAGGACCCTAGGATCATGACCTGAGCAGAAGGCAGAAGCTTAACGACTGAGCCCCCCAGGCGCCCCGCAAGAAGTCTTTAAAATTCACATTTTCTACTTCAGGCAACAGATCAATCGACATCAAAAATCTAAAAAGTATTCTAAAGCAAAATATTAATTATTTCAACAATCCTAAAATCAACTATTCCTCTAATTTTATTAAGTACACAGGCCAATATTTCCTTTTCCACTACATCCCATTTCATGAAATTCCAACAGGAAATTGTGATTGCTAGGCGCTACCAAATTTGGCAAGTTGTTCTTTGAAAGGTCCGTGATAAAGCACCCATATCATATATTTCAATAAACTAGAACAGTGGAAGTAAAAAAAAAAAAATACAGGATATACAGATCATACATGATGGTTATCAAACAAAACACAAAATGATACAGCATGTTCCTCATGAAGTTTATATATAAATTCTTACTGGGGTTTCATCTTCCAGACAGATTTTTATACCTGAACGAGGAATCCTTTTTGGCTTTGAAACCTGCTGTAGCCAGTGTGTACGTCTGGAGAGCCAAGTCCACTCTTAAGAACTTGGATGAATACACAGATCTGCTGACTATAGTCCAACACCAGTTTTTGTTATTTTTTAAAAAATTTATTTATTTTAAAGAGAGAGGGAGAGAGAGGAGGGACAGAGGGAGAGGGAGAAGGAGAGAAGCAGACTCCCCACTAAGCCCAGAGCTCCACCCAAGGCCTGGTCCCACGACCCCGAGATCGTGACCTGAGCTGAAATCAAGAGTTGGACACTTAACCGACTGAGCCACCCAGGTGCTCCTGTCCAACACCTGTTTCTGACGTAATGGGATCAGTTTTCCTCAAAAGAAATCAGTATTACTTAGGGAGAAAGAAGACAAGAAGGGTCTAGAAGCGGTGAAGCCAAGACATACATTGCTTCAGAAGAGGAACGAGTCTTCAACATTGATAGGAACACCAATGAATTCGGTGTCGCTGGTGGCAGAATTTCCGATGACACAACAGATGCTGCATTTTCCATGAGTTCTACTTTTCTACCTTAACCCTGGTGACCAGCAATCACAGGGAACGGGAGAGAGCCTTCTCTCCAAACTGAGACCCTTCCCAAACCACGAACACGGATAGGCCTGAACAGTCTTTGGGCACCAGTGGTGTGTGGGAGACGGTGGGATTGCTCACAGTAAACGGTGCCAACACCGCTACAAGGTGCAACATGAAACCAGCACACAGCTGCACCTTCTGGAGGCGGTCTCCATAAAAAAGGGTATTTCAGAGTCAGTGCCTGGCAGGGACGAGTGGAAAGTCTAAGCCGAAATTCTGGGGCTCCAGAGACGGCCCAAGCCAAGTATTTCATTACGGATGGAAGTAGCTTGGAAGTACATGAAAAACTGCCACTTACCTTTTAAAATGTCATACAAATACACAGAAAAGCAAGTGTATATGCCAGGTGTGGGGCAATATTAAATCAAGATGTTTGTTGATTAGCTGTTGCTGAATCAAAACTTTGATTTCTGTCTGAAACAACCTCTCTATTTCAAATGAAAAGTGTACATTCTGGTGGGCAGAAGGCTAACAAATCCCAATAACTGTCTGACATAAACTGTATAAGCAGATTCTTACCTCTGTCCATAATGGTTAATTATCCTGACATTTAAACGTCTCGAGCTCTCCTGGCAAAACCCCAACAAATGCTGGCTGAGACGGTACAGTTAACAACTAAAACAGCCGAACACCAGGATGGCTTCCTTCACACTTTGGAACACACCTGTTCCATCAGCAGTAGTGCAATTACTAAAAGCACACATTTAAAGCCAAAGAGACCTGGGATTTAATCTTGGTTTTGCTACTTACTGAGTGTATTCTTGGACATGTTAATTAACTTGAACCTCAGTTTCTTCTTCTGTAAAATGGGAATAATTATGAATGCAATAAGGATTAAATGAATACTACAGATAAACATGGTAGGCATGGTGCCCAGTATGGAGAATGCACAAACTAATGGGTAGCTGTTATGAATTTACAATTATTTATGTAATCTTTTTCACTATTATAGATTTTTAATTGTAACGGCAAATTTTAAGACCAGAAAGTATTATAATGCAGACAGAAAGAATTCTCAGTACTTTTTTTTAGACATTATTTATTTATTTGAGAGAGAGCATGAGCCGGTGGGGGGGGGTGGGGAGAAACAGAGGGAGAGGGAGAAGCAGACTCCCCGCTGAGCAGAGAACCCAATGCCGGGCTGTATCTCAGGACGCTGGGATCATGACCTGAGCCAAAGGCAGATGCTTAACCAACTGAGCCACCCAGGCGCCCCTCAATACATTTTTTAAGGTGGTACGCTAGAAGCATTTTGAGAGGGCACATATTTCCATCTTGCCTTTCATTGTAACATATAAACACAATTATCTTTTCAGAAGTCATACCTAAAATATAAAGGTATATTTATAAAGACTAATCTATTTGAGTTATACTTCAGTTTTCTGAACATGAAAGAAAAATGAAATTGGAATGATACTGAACTTGGTGGAAACGAGGACTTTTTTTTGAGAAAGGAGGAGAAAAAAGTATGGGCAAAAAAAAAAAAAAGGAGTAGAGGCCATGTGGAAAAAAATCTTCAGCTGTAACTACATGATTTTCAGAGATAACTAGTCAGAGGGAATTAAAAGACCTGTCAACAGACGTGGCTAGGAAGTTTGCAAATCTTTTCAGACACCCTAAACTAATCAGTCTTTAATATCTTTGTCTTCCCCCACTGATCCCTTCTGCTCCACAGCTTAAAAACAACTGAAAGGGATCTGAGATCTCTGCCCATTTACTTTTATTTCTAGACCACAGCCTAGTATAGGAAACAAACAGCAGGCAAAGATCTTATTAAACATAAGCAGACATTACAGCTTTGCTTCGGATGGCCTTAGCTAGAACCTCAGAGTGGAAAGATCGCTGACGTGCGAGACTATACTTAATCTTTGACAGGCTAGCCTAATTAATTGTGATTGTTACCATCCAAACTGGAGTCTGATCTAAAGATTACAATTTACAGTGTACAGCAAAAAAATTTAAAATGCTGGGCAGGAGGTAAGTGAATAAGAAAGAGAGTCCCCTTTTGCACCCCAGGAAATAATGTATAGGTGAGTCCCTGGGACCTCGGGGGGCTAACAATTTTTAAGGGAAGTGGGTCTTTGGCTCTGTTGGCTTAGAAAGATTTCATACGAAGTATGACCGAAAAGCCCCAAAAGGGAAGGAAAGAAGAGAAAAATCACGGGACACACCACAGTGTGTGCCTGACCATTTGTTGAATGAATACTGCTGAACATCCACTAGGAGCCACACCCCCACACGAAGACCTGCTTTCATTTTTTATTCCTAGCAGTCCAAAGACTTACCATCCTTATTATCCTGACTCAAAAGGCGAGAAAGTCGAGCCTTACAGAAATTAAGTCATTTGGTCAAGGTCGCAAGGCTTATAAACAGTGCCCTGAAGTTGGGCTTGTACCTGTTTTTCTCCCCCTGAGCCGACAAGTTAAGTCCCAGTAAGGAAAGAAACCTGTGAGAAGTTTGCCAGAATTTCCTGCCACATCTCCCTAATTTAAAGGGGAATGATGACAATGGTGTTGCATAACACAGATATTTGAGGCTTGATCCCACCAGTGAGCAGCCACAGTACTTTCTGGCGTGCTCACGTAAAGTTACCTTGATAACACTGGTTTCTGCATTTCCCCCAAATAAGCAAGGGAGCACCAAGTTCCTCATGATCAAATCTTTTCTCATGCAGATCATTAACACCATAAAGAGAAAGCAAGGGGAGCCCCTCCATAGAAGAGGGAGGCAGGGGCTTCAGGTGAACCCCTGCAGAGGCACTCACTCTCTCCCATTGCTCTCTGGTAATAGATTTCACAAACATATAAAAATAACACATTAAAAATGTTTCAGAGTAATAAAGCAGGGCCTTCCCAGGTAACCCGAGAAACCCCTGTCACTCAAGAATTAAAGATCCACTGATCAGGAGGGCAGAGAAGTGAGAGAGAAACTGGAAAGACATTACTGGTGCAACGAGAGAGACCTGCAAGAAACATCTTGATCTTGGCTGGACCCTCACTACCTGCGCGACAGCAGGACACTGGAGGACCCAGAGCAAGTGCCAGAAGTGGGAGGAACTGCCAAAGAGGCAGATTCGCCCAGCTGGGCGGGCCCAGCTTCTTCACAAAGCCTGGATGGAAATCAGAGAACAGAACCCCCAGATTCCATTCTAGTAAGTACAGAGAGAGCAGGGCTGTTTCGCTGACATTTTAACATACCCACAAGTTGAAGGAGTTGTACAGTGAATGCCCAAACATTCTCATCCTAGATTCTACAAGCAACGTTTATCTGTTTCTTTACCTATGGATCCATCAATCCATCTTACTTTTGGTGATGCATTTCAAAGTAGGCTGCAGAAATCGGCTGCTGCAGACCCAACTGCTTTGCACACCCTCTCCCCCCATCCCTATGATGAAGCTTAAACTACACCATTTTGACAGTATTTGGAGACAGGATTTTTGAGAGGTAACTAAGTTTAACTGAGGTCATGTGGGTGGGGCCATCACGATGGGATGAGTGTCCTTCTCAGACTCTAGAAACCTTCCCCTTTCTCTCTCTGCCACACGAGCACAGGAAGAGAGGGTACCCTGTGTGTAAGGCAGGAAAGAACCCTCACTAGAACCCGGACGTCCAGCCACCTGAACTGGGATGAACAAATAAATGTCTGCTGTTTAAGCCACTCAGCCTATGGTATTGTGTCATAGCAGCCCAAGGTGACCAAAACATCATATACTCCACTCAAAGAAAGCAAAGGAACTGCAAGTCTAGAACAAAAATCAATGTCAAATACAACTCTACAGGGATTTAGTAAACACCTCTGTGTGTCAGAATATTCACAAGGGCAGTGCTTTCTAAACTTTACTGTGCATATTAATAACCCGATTGGGATCTGGGGGCGGCTACAGGATTCTGCATTTCCAACAAGCTCCCAGGGGAAGCCCGTGCTGTTGGTCCTCAGAACACACTCTGAGTAGCACGGGCTGAGGACGAGCCCACCGGTCCCCGAAAGAAAATCTGGATCACTGTGGGGAAGAGAGAATCCCAATGGTTAACCAGCATGCTTCATACTTGTTGCCGAAATGCCCTGAGCTCCAGGGGCTCGTCTTACACCAGATCCCAGGAGCCCAGCATCTAAACATGTGTCCTGCAGATGACGGGACTGACTTGGAGGGTCAGGCTATCAAACCTAATCAGCTCTGATATCATGCCTAGCTAGAAATCGAAAGACAGAGCTCAGGGGTAGAGGCTCTGCAGCCCCGTGCACCTGTGTACTGCTGCGTGTGGGGAGAGGGGTCCCCTGGGTCACAGCTCATTAACGTCCCACAGTTAAGTTGAGGCTGACGACTAGCACCCAGTCCCCCTGACATCCACAACAAAACTTTTCCCAACTGGCCACATTCAAGAGGACACAGCTGTTGACATTGTGCTAGGAGGAGAGGAACAGAAAATATTACTACTACCCTACTGCGAGGACCACCACCACTCCCACTGGCATGAAGACGCTACTTCTGCTGCAGTCCTCACATGTTAAACACTTAGCACTGGGAACCGTGCTCAGTGCTTCGTGTGCCTGATCTCCATTCATCTGGGCAGCCTTGTGACACATCCCAATTGTCCCCATTTTACAGATAAGGAAACTGAGGCTAAGAAGAGTTAAGCACATTAGCCAAAGTTGTGCCAGCAGTAAGTGGGAAAGGAATGATTTTATAGAACAGACCAACTTCAAAGCCAGCAGTAACTGCACTCCATGAACCTCGGGTGCCTCCTCAGACAGATGCACCGCAGGACTCCACACCGGGGCCGGGGGGGGGGGCGGGGGCTTACAAAAGCCATGAAACAGGAGAAAAAAGAAAAAAATCTATTAAGAAAAAAGCCCCCCCCCCCCCCCCAGTGACAACCCTTAGTGACAAGAGGTGCATTTGTTCAACATGAGCTCGGGCTGGCGGGCCAGCTTCTCGCCATCACCTCTGCTTTATCAGGACTGAACCCCTTGCCAGTACGCTCAGCCAGGCTAAATATTTTGAGGACAGCATTTATTAAATATTTTCTCATAAGGCTAAACTAAGCACATTCTTCCCCAAGGATGTAATGGGTTTTATTCAGCTAAATATAGTTGGCTAGCTTATCACTTTCAGCAAGGTACAGATGGACTCGTCTAGTTAATCATCAGGTGGGGAAAGAGCCCAGCCAATAATTGACAAATGCATATATGTTGTGACTTCTATTACAAAGGATTCCAGAATGAAATCTTAATAAGATACACTTAATAGGTTTATGAAAGCAGTTAAAGCGCTCATGATCAGAGGGGGAGAGAAAGGAAAAGGGTGACCTCTCCATGGGATTGGGAAGAAAAAGAAAAGAAAGCAAAAAAAAGACAAGGGGCCAGAAAATAATGAACAGAAAATCCCCCATCAGCAACTGCAGAAAAATTACATTAAAAAATGGGTAGTCAGATTTTTTTCAAAAAACATTTTTTTAAAAAAAATCACTGATATATGAAACTAAACTATCCATTTACAATAAAGCAATTGTTAGCAATTGCCAGCAATTTTAAGATAAAAGTACATACAACCCTTAGTAATTCTGTGAGGAATCAGAATAAAAAAATAAAAATGAAGCAATATGCTTTCACTGCCTCAGACAGATGTGATTAATTCTGGGGGACTATTAAGTTTCCCTATCTCACAATATACTATGATCACTGGTGAAATGAGCAGGAGATTATTCACCTCTCAGCTACAGAAATTCATAGACTTAACACCGGTTGCAATTTTCCTTTTAAGGATACCAATTTTAGAAGGGTCAATTTGGGCAGCAGTTGGACCCTGTCATTAAATTCTCAAAAAAGCCAGGGTAATACATAGTACCATGCCACAGACACTTACTTTTGCCAGACCCATCTACCTTGTTTTAAATATACAGGAGGCCCTACAGATAGAAAAAGCAAAATATAAAACACGTATCAATTACAGAAAGAAGCCTGACCGTGTTCCCACAAAGATTCTCAGAAATAAGCTTAAAAAAAAACAAAACAAAACCATACAGTTGGGTGATATCTGAGGAGTGGGTGTATTTTCTAATTGCTTAAAAGTCAGCAGGGGAAATATGGCTACATCAAATAAGCTAGAGCAAACCGGTCAAAGAAGAGGAGTGAAGTCAAAAATTAAGCTGGACCCAGAAACAGAACTATTCAATCAGTAATTGCAACCAACATTTGGGATTCTTGATAGGCAATACTCTACCAGTTTGCAGATTTCACACCGCTAAAACTTCCCCGGCGTAAGTGGGGATGGTCAGGACAGTGTGGGTTGCCTATCATGGAACTGACTGTGATGCTGTTCATGAGAAAGTGTCCCTGGGGGATGCCTCAGAGGGGGGAAGCCATTGCTGACCACTGCATGTGTGCCTCCCCGCATTCTGGTCTCAGAGCCACCTCGGTCCTAGCAACCGGGACAGCCTGTGCTCTGTCTCCCTCCTGCACTGCTTCGGCCTTAGGGTGAAAGGGAAGTGATAGGGCCTGAACCACGGGAGGGAGTTTTGTACATTTTGTTCTATCAGATTAGGCCTCAGTAACTTCATGAATTATGAGCTGTCAACTTCTTTTTCATCTGCTATAGAATATACTTCTTAGAAATTGGGGCTATAAATAAAACAACAGATGTTTTTTGCTGGCTTCAACAGGAGCTTGGGTCATTTTTTTTTAAAAGGGGCTAGAAGTTAAGTGAATTAATCCAAGAAGATGTACCAGGTTTCCCCCTGTTGGTCACTTTCTGCATTATTCCACTGAAGTCACAGATTCGTTTTACTCCCTAAAATACCTTTTGAGGCAACTGTATGTAACCTACTGAAGAAACTAGAAAGGACTTTATAAACACACTGCATCCTTTCTGTGACTTCTCTTTAAAAAAAAAAAAAAAAAAAAAAAACTATTAAATGCCTTACATATGCTTGTTACTGGATGACACCAAAAACAATTGAAAAGCCACTGCAGGGGCGCCTGGGTGGCTCAGTCGTTAAGTGTCTGCCTTCGGCTCGGGTCATGGTCCCAGGGTCCTGGGATTGAGCCCCGCGTCGGGCTCCCTGGTCAGTGGGAAGCCTGCTTCTCCCTCTCCCCCTGCTTGTGCACATGCTCTCTCTTTCTCTGTCAAATAAATAAATAAAATCTTAAAAGAAAGAAAGAAAGAAAGAAAAGCCACTGTAGAGTGGCAGACAAGAGGTGAGGACATGAGTTCTAGATGGTTCTGTCAGTGACAGGTCGGGAGCTTTGAGGAAAATAACACCTCTGGGCCTTCACCTATCAGTGATATGATAAGGTTTAGCTAAGTAATTCTAAAGTAACTTTTAGTTCTTAAAATCTGCAACTGGAAGATAAAAGTCAAGGAAATCACAGGGCCAACATAAAACCACTGAATTACATTTCAACATGAATTACTTTAAAAATAATTCTATTCTCCTTAGCCATTATTGGCTAAAGAGTCAGTGAGTACCAATGTTGTTGCACTGCATAGCTGACAAAAATGACAGGAAGGCACCCAGGAGAGGGCTGGCAAAAAAAGTTACTTCAAATAAGAGAGGGGTGGGTGGGAAAAAAATCAATTAAATGAATTAAAAGAAAGCAAAAATGGCAAAATTTAATTATATTTCATTGGGCTTACCTTAACCTATAATTTCTGATGAGGGGTGGAGAAGCTTTTTTGAGGTCAGCCTTTCAAGTGAGGTATGAACTTTCACTTTGTCGGCAGGTGCACATTCAAAAGAACAAAAACATTTCTCCAATTTCTGTCTGTATGCGGATCTAACAGAAGACAACTTACTGTATGTTCTTAAATGTATTCCGAAGTCATAACTGCTACAAATCAGAGAATGTAATTTCTACTCAGTTTCTATAGATCACGATTTGGAGGAATGGGGGTGGAGACCAAGAAACTGAGAGCAACATAAAAGTCAGGCCAAGGGAAGGAAGGAGGGAGAGCGAAGGGTGAGCAGTCCCTGGCCTAGATACTGCTCGAGTCACTTGGCTTACTTCCATGAGTCACGCTAAGAGCCTTGTAAAGGACATCAGTCTTATTTTGTGTGTGGGAAAGACTGAGAGGTTAGGTGACCACAACAAGATCACTTGATCAGTGTCTGGCACAGCAGACACCAACAACCCACGTCCATCTGAGTCTAAGGGCCTGCTCTTTCCACTTCACCTTTGATCTCTCCTAGTAGTTATTTCTCCTGCTCTCCTCCTGAGTTTCCGAATTAAGTTGCTTGTAAATGCAGCCCCTTTTAACATTGATGTTTCTGACCAACACATGCTGGGCTCTAAGAGATAGGAGGGAGGGTCTGTGCAAAAGTGGCTCACGATCCACGCAGTCAGTGAGTACAAATGTCTGTGATTAAACAGGTCAAGGGGTGAGTAAGAAGTAATGATACTCAGAGGAAAGGGCTCTGTTCCCCCCAAACCCAGATCTTTGTAAGTTTATCCATTTCTTTCTGAGGGG